CGGACGCTGCCAGCGTACTCGCTGGGACTGCTGGGCGCGCCTGTGCGCACGCTGTGTGCGGTAGGCATCACGGTCGGCTTTTCGCCGGCCGTCCGGCTACTTTTTCCGGCAACTCACGCATGACTGACTATAATATGAATTGAAATGACTAAATACACATAAATTGTTCGGGACTTGCCGGTTAGATTTTGAAATCACTCGGAGAGGGCTTATATAGCACCTCCGAGGCCATTTTCGTACAAAACTTGGACCGAACGACATGATACCAATATGATCTTGCTAATATGAACTTAACTACATAAAAAGAGGGTAAAGGAATGTATACCCTTCAGTTCGGTCGAAGAGTGCACGGTGATGTGCGTGCGTACCCAGTGCTCGAGTGCGTGCGTGCTTGCTTCCCTTTTACTTCGGCAATGATGAGCTATTTTTGTATGATTTTTCCCTTATTTTTCCTCACTGTTTTCTCTCTATTTGGTACGCTGAAGTTGGGCTGAAGTTGCATGAAAATGCATGGGGAAAACGTCCCACATGCTCGGTTATTTAAAGGAGTAAAAACCGATGGTGAAGTTAAGTCAAAGAAGGTGAAAGATGACAACACCTCTCTTGATTACATGTGTCCCAAACGTGGCTGAGGTGGGACGTTCTTGCCTGAGTCATTGGCCGAGGTGTCAAGCATGCATGGGCTTAGTCATCGCCCGTGCGTGCGTGTTGCGCCATGTGTGCAAGCAAGTAGGTGACTACCACACCACTTGCACACCCAACACCTATCAGAAGTTACTCTTGGACGACAATCTTAAGGAAGGGGATTTGGGGCTTGCTTTTCTTGATCATATTGCTAAGTGTTGCTCAAGTGGGTGCTTAGGGCCTAATGACGCGCGCGCTATGCGCGATGCTCGGCAATGCGCGCTGCGCGTGTTCGCGTGCGCAACTACGCGTACGGCTGCGCGCATCGTGTGCGTACGCGTGCATGCTTAATGCACCTTGTGTGCATTTGCAACTTAACCTTGGTTTTAACTTCGAACTTAGTTCCGAACATTCTTAACTATTAATAATTAATCCCGATTAACAATGTCCGTTTATAAAATAAACGATTCGGAAATTAATTATCGACTTTGACTCGGTTAATAACTAACCGAATAGAATTTTCGACTTAACGTCGAACTTATTCGCTAAAAATGAACGGAATTAATAAAAGATAATATACCATTTCTATTAACAAGAAACTGGGTTAATACAATCTACCCTCCTTATAATATTTATGTCCTCGGAAATATCAAACTAAACATACACATACATGAAAAATATACATCAAAACTCTAAGTCGGGAAAACGAGCACGAATATCAGCCTCCTGCTCCCAAGTGGCTCCCTGGCGATCCCACTGAATACGAACGAGAGGAACATCTCGGTTCCAGAGCCGTCGAACCTGTCGGTCCAACACTGCAACCGGTCGCTCCTCGTAAGATAAATCTGGATGGATCTGAATATCCGTATGAGGAATGACATGATCGGGGTCGCACACGTACTTGCGTAACATGGATACATGGAAAACATTATGAACACCAGATAACTCGAGAGGTAAGGCTAAACGATACGCAACATCGCCCACTCGCTCGAGTACTTCGAACGGACCAATAAACTGAGGGTGTAACTTCCCTCTCTTTTCGAATCGAACGACTCCGCGAAATAGACTAATTCTGAGAAAAGCGTGCTCGCCAACCTCGAATTGGATATCTCGTCGATGATGATCGGCGGTTGATTTCATTCTACTCTGAGCTGTCTTGAGTCTCTGTCGAATCAACTCGACCTGCTCTGCCGTCTCCTCGATCAATCTCGGACCGAGTACTCGACGTTCACCGACGTCGTCCCAATAAAGAGGGGAACGACACTTACGACCGTATAGTGCCTCATAAGGCGCCATCTTAATAGAAGAATAATAACTGTTGTTGTATGCGAACTCAACGTACGACAATAACGACTCCCATTTAGCACCCCTGTCAACAACCAAAGCTCGTAACATATCCTCCAACGTCTGTATAGTCCGCTCTGTCTGTCCGTCCGTCTCTGGATGGTAGGCCAAACTGAATGCTAGCTTCGTGCCCATCGCCTCGTGTAAGCTCTGCCAGAATCTACTAGTGAATCTGGGATCTCTGTCTGACACGATAGTAACAGGCACCCCGTGGAGTCGAACGATCCCACGGACATAAATCTCAGCCAACTTGTCTAAAGACATATTCATCGATACTGGCAAGAAATGTGCAACATTAGTCAATCTGTCGACCACGACCCAGATAGCGTCGTGATGTTCAGACGACTTCGGTAAGCCCGTAACAAAATCCATCGCAACCTCCTCCCACTTCCACTTCGAAATCGGCAGTGGTCGTAGAAGGCCTATGGACTCTTGTGCTCGGCTTTGACTTGTTGACAGGTTAAATATTTCCTTACAAAGTCGGATACGTCTTTCTTCAATCCTCGCCACCAAAATGACCTTTTCAGGTCGTGATACATCTTCGTACTTCCTGGATGGGCTAGATATGGTGTTGTATGAGCCTCAGTCAAAATCTCCTTCCTTAATGCTTCAGCTTTTGGCACCACAATCCTGCCACGAAACTCCAAGGCTCCATCAGTGCCTCGGTGAAAACTCTCGACGCCTTCGGCGCTAACCTTGGCACCAATTGCACGAGTAAACTCATCTGAAGCCTGCTCTTGCCGGATTCTCTCCCTCAGCGTCGGCTGTACCAGCATGGAACTGACACTCCCCATAATGGCTGTAGGAAGTGCATCAATCACCTGAATTTGCATCCGGGCGAACTCCTGTATCAAATGACTCTGCTGAGTAACGACCTAAGTCAAGTCACCCTTTACCTTGCGGCTTAGGGCATCAGCAACAACATTCACCTTTCCCGGATGGTATTGAATCGTACAATCATAATCCTTGACGAGCTCTAACCAACGGCTCTGTCTCATGTTGAGCTCCTTCTGAGTAAAGATATACTGTAGGCTCTTATGATCAGTAAAAATCTCACATCGACCGCCGTATAGGTAATGTCGCCAAATCTTGAGGGCATGAACAACTGCAGCTAATTCCAAGTCATGCGTCGGATAGTTCTGTTCATGTGGTTTGAGCTGGCGTGAAGCATAAACAACGACTTGGCCATCTTGCATGAGTACACACCCCAAACCCTGCCTCGAAGCATCACTATAGATGGTGAAACTCCGAGAAGGATCTGGAATAGTCAACACCGGTGCCGTAGTAAGTCTCCTTTTCAACTCCTGAAAACTCGACTCACAACGGTCTGTCCATTCAAACTTCACAGACTTCCTCGTCAGCTGAGACAAAGGGAGGGCAATCTTCGAGAACCCCTCAATAAATCTGCGATA